GGCAGAGGCGGCAGAGCTCCGGCCGGGACGCGCGCCCGGGTGCAGCCAGGCTCTGGCGGGGGCGACGGCCCTCTGAAGTGCCGGCTGCCGTCCCACTGACCCTGCCTGTTCCCCCGGGTAGCGACTTCCCGCTGTGCTTCGTGCCTCCCCGGTGGAGATTTGACTTAGCAGCGGGTGCGGACCCGGCCGAGCAAATGGGCAAAGCCCGAGGCGCGACACGTCCTGCCGGTTCCCGGTAGCCCATCCCTGAGATCCGCGGCGCCAGGGGGCGAGGGCCGTGTGCTTTCAGGCAGGGCTTGGAAAGTGGAAAATGGGATGGTGGGTGAGGTCTGAAGTTCTGTCGCCTTTGCAGATCCACATGGTGGTCAAGCACGTGGCAGGGGTTCAGTGCCTTCCCTTCGAGACACTCGGCTTCCTACTAACCCTGCTGGCCACCACTGTGACCCCCGTGTTTGTCCTGTCCAAACGCTGGACCCACTTGCCCTGTGGCTGCATCATCAACTGCGGGCGGGACGCTTACCCAGTGGCGTCCGATGGCGAAAAAAGTAAGTCCTCCACCGTGCGGTGATGCTGAGCAAGACGCGCGCAGGCACAGAGAAGGGCGATCTGCTGAAAAGCCCCCTGAGGAAGGAGGAAGAGTACAAGGGCAGATCTAAAGGGTGGATGGTGGAGGAGAATGAACGATGCGGAGCAGTTCCCAGCGCCGTGTTGGAGTGGGTGTTAAGCGAGCCGGGCTTTAAACAACTCCAAGAAGTCCTTGAGCACTCGTGATTATTTTAGATAGGACAGAAAGAGGCGAAGTTGCTCAACGCAACATGAGATAAGCAAAGGTCGTCAGGTGGTGTGTCTAACAGATTTTAGAACAGAGTGAAAAATAAATGTCCTCCCAAGTCTATGGCAAATGACATTGCTGAGAAGCCTGCATCTAAAAAGAGATTCTTAATGTCCTGACAAGAATTAAGGACTTCCTGTTAAAACCAGTTATTATCCAATGGAACAGTAAGAAAAGCAGTTCCATTATTTTTTTCCTTGTTCTCTTTAAGGATTCTGGAAAGTTTGCTGTTGTTGTTGCTGCTGTTGTTTTAAGACAGAGTCGCTGTGCAGTTCAGGCTGGCCTTGAGCTCACTTTGTAGCCCAGGCTGGTCTCGAACTCTTGAGGATATTCCTGCCTCAGCCTCCCGAGTGCTGGGATTACAGGCATGCACCACCACGCCCCCCTTGGAAAATTTTTAAAGTAGTCAAAGTGCCTGCAAATAGTCCCCAAATAAATTGTTGTTACCAAGAAATAAAATCCCTCAATTTCAAGGGATAAAGGTGGTGGAGTCTGATATTGTATATGCATGTATGAATTTAGCTATGAGATGTGTATTCATCAGTACTACACTATATGTGTGTATATATATATTAAGGAATTCACCAAAAATGACACTGGGAGGTAGTGTAATTACCAAACTCTACTATATAATTGTTCCCAAATTCTACAGAAAAAATTGAGGAATGAGCTGCATGTTGGGAAAGAGTATTATGTTGTTATTCCAAACAAAAGGTAGGATGTTTTACCATCTAATAAATTCAAGAACACATTAATATATGCTGAATTAACTATCCCACTAGTTGTCCTTTGCTCAGATTAGCAAATATATTATTCTCTAACAGAGAGGAAAGGTTAAATTAAAACAATATTTTAAGTTTGTGAAAAGTGGAGTGTATCCAAGTATACTCCACTATCAATTCCACAACAGGGCTATTTTATAAATATTAGTCACAGACTGGTCATTTTTTGTGTATTGATAACATTTAAAACATAATATCTACATATTTTTCAGCTGAAAAAATACTTATTTTTAAGAATATCATAGAAGTTTATTGTAAATAGACACTAAATTCATTTATCTTTAAAATAATAGTGGAACTCATAACATTATTCCCCTAAAACTTAATATTCAGATGAGTAACTTGGAAAGTTAATAGTAAAAGCACTTATAAAAATCATGGAACACTAAGGAATTATTTACAAATTTGCTCCAGTAGTCTAGCAAGGTTAATATTTTGCTGCTAAACTAGTGAATCATCCCTATCTTAAAACTTTAAAGATTATGAAGAAGACATCAGCAGTAAACTTTTAAAAAAAAAGATTACGAAGAAGATAATAGTCTTCGTGCTGGGTAAATGACAAGTATTAGCGAAGTGTTTTAGGACAGGCATTTTCAAAAGCTGAGGCATGCCCATATCAGAACAGAAAACAAAGCAAAGCAATGACTCTATCATTGCAAATGTCCTAGTAAATCGTGTATCATCTACAGTGCACAAGAATAAAGTGCCTATACTTGAGCTTGCTTTACATATACTACAGAGCCCACAGTTAGGCTAGTGGAACCATTGCCCATCTTTTTACATTAAAGGCATGCCTTTAAAGATCAAATTATTGTTATTATTATTCCTCTGAAATCTACTTTATTTTTATTTTTATGTATTTTAAAATCCCAGAGGAGGACTTGATATATAAAGGCTTGTTTTAAAAGATGTAGCTCTTTAAAAATAAGACATTGTGAGAAATATAGGTTAAGATACTTATAAGTCAGATGTCTCTATTCCCTGTAACCCAAGCTATGCCATATGGAAGTTCTGAGAGTAAGTGTGTTTCCACTGTATGATGAGCTGCCATAAATGTCCTATTGCTAGGATGACAACAGAATGCTGAGAGCCTACAGGTGGTCCATCAGGTAGACCAGTTGTTTGGCTCCACAGCTTTCATTCTGTAGGAGTTCTATGCTTAAACTTTCTCTCCTAACCAAACCAATATACCCCTATCTGCAACTCTTACCAGTGAATTCCAGAAGAAAGAAAGGTAATATATCTTTTCCAGCTCATATTTGCAATAGGTGCGTATTGCTGGTGTAAATACATATAATTCTACATTTCAGCTTCAGTGAATGAGAACTAATATACATACAACCAGAAATTGAATTTCAGTGTTAAAAGGTAGTTTGCAGAAATAAGAATGACTTCTCTTGTATTTCCAAAAATAATGTATGTTTATAGTATCTCAGAACAATTTTAAGATTTAATTTATTTTTATTTTTATTAGTACACATTTGCAGTGCTCAGTTATTACACTTATCATGAGGAGTTTGTGCAGATTCACAACACATTTAATTTTTTTTACTCTTCTCTTCCCTCTTCTTCTTCCCCTCTCTCTCTCCACCTTTTGATCTCCTTCCCCATTTAAGTGATTTTTAATATGAGGTGTCAGCCAGTACATATACGGATTCCCCATGATGAGTGTAATAATTGTGTGCTGTGAACCTGTACTAAGAAAAATAAAAAATTAGTTTGTTTGCCTGACAGGATGTTTTCTTTTTTTAAAATTAACGAAGAGCTAAAACTCAAATATATTATATAAAAATCAAATTTTTACTTTTCCTCTTTTTACAACATCAGAGTATCCGGTAAGTGACATCACTCTGCAGAAGTACTCATTTTTATGTGATGTTACCATGTCTAAAATTATAGTTGACAAAACATGATTAAAAAACAAAAGACTAGAGTTAATTCAAGTTTTATCTAAGGTTGGGAACAGTGAAGCTCTTGCTTTGCATAATAAATACATTATATTTATTTTTCAGAAGTGGAGTATAAATTTCAAAAGAAACTGGACTTTAAATTTCTTGCAAGTGATTAGTCAATGAAAGACTTCTACACAAAAATTTTAAATACAATTCAGTTATGGGTTGTTTGCTTTATGAGCATAAACGTAAGTAAGAAATCCCAACACCTTCAAGGTCTTCCTCCTATAAATAAATGAATATTTATTTTTTTCCTCTAGAAATCATACTCCACTCAGCTACAGTCACTGTGCGATTCTGCAGGTGGCTTTGCTACTTCACTCCCTCATTCACTGTACAAATACATGAGGAATGGTCACTATGTATCTACCACTGTGCTGTAAGTTTAATAAGGAACAAAGTTCCCAATTCATGATTTTCAGGCTGAATTTCATGCATTTTTTTTAAACCTACATGGAATTTGGCTCAAGACATGGCTTTTAAGCAAGTGTTAATAGTTACTTTTAATCAGTCTTCATTATGAGCCAAATTTTTGAGGTCAGATTATTTTACATAAAAAATCTATGCATCTGGTTTCTCTTTAAAAAAATCAGAATACTCACAAAACAGCCTCCATCCTCATCTCCCAGAACAGTTGGCTAGAGTGAAGGAACCTGTAGAAAGAAGGGGTGATAGTAAAGGCTAGTAATATACCAGCATTTGACTCTGTTTTTTGCTAGTGTTACTTAACCGGCAAGTATCAACATTTGAGTTTTCCTACTTCTTGTTAACAATTTTAATGAAGAGTCTTCTGGCATGGTGGTTCATGCCTGTAGTCTCAGCGGCTAGAAGGCTGAGTGAGGGGATCACAAGTTTGAGGCCAGGATCTTAATGAGATCCTGTCTCAAAAAACAAACTTTTTTAAAACGACTGGTAAGGTAGCTTAGTGATAGGTAGGTGCTTAGCTTGTACAAGGTCCTGGGTTCAATCTCTAGTACTTGCAAAATTTATTTAAATATCTTTGCCTCAAGGAACTTAAAGATGATCAGCCTTGTCCAGGCCCACCCTGCTTATTCCCCCATTGGGCAGCTGACCAAGGCGCAGAGAGATACAGAACTTGCCCAGGGTCACGGGCAGAATGCAGCATTCTTTGATTGTTCTCTGTGACACAAATACCTGAAAAATACCTACACCATAACAGGCACTCAATAAATATTTGTTGAATTCAATCAGAAAAAAATTACATTTACTTCAACATAGCTTTAAACATTTTTTTATTTTTAACAATTTTTCTAGGGGTAACACACACACACACACACACACACACACATTCATATCTACCTGTTGTCAAAATTCTCAACTCTGTGATATAGTTATAACCTATCATCTCCATCAGTTACCTTGGTCAGACTTTAACTCTTGGTTTAAGAAAGTAATTAATAAAAAATGTTTTCATTGCCTATATTTATAATTGATGAATTTCTGACCTAAAAATGACCTGTCTAGGTCATTCTGCTTCTATGAACATATTTCTTTCCTAAGTTTGCTTAGCAGTAAATCAATTTCATATAAAGGGTAATGACTCAAATCCTGATATTAGCTTAAAATTCCATTCATTTTACCTGATAGGTAGTCTCAGCTTGTGAGCTTCAGTATTCTCAACTATGAAATAGGACCAATAAACTTTTTGGATTATTGGTGTGTTAAATGACATATTCTTTGTGCATAGTTTAGACTTAGAATATTTACCACATCATATTCTCAATCACAATCCTAATTTATTTTCACAGCCTATCTCTGACTGCCTTTTGAATCTTACACTATATTCTCCACTAACATATTCTCCACACTCTTTAAAAAATATTACCCATTGATACTTCATATATTTCAGGGTTATATACAGCCAATAAAATATATAGTCTTGAGCATCAAATTTATCAACTAGTAATCATAAAATTGAGACTCCATGACATTTTTTTTGTTTTTATATTGGTTGTGAGTTGCCAACCTGTCACTGTATATCTTTTCTGGAGAAAAGGGAACCCCATCAACAATTAAACTATTCTTGTAGTTTCTTCACTTTTCATACTCTTAAACTAAGTTAAAAATTCTAATTTAATTTTACTGGAATATATAACTACAAATAAAAATGAGATACTGTACAAAATATGATCATCTGTTCTTTTCAATTTCATTTGAATAGAGATTTTTCTTATATTTTGGCTCAAACAAGAATGAATGACACTGATAAATTCTGTTTTTCAGCAACAAAATTAGTTTGTAAATCTTCAGTTCTGGAAACATTTCAGCTTTAATAGAATCAGCATGTGAACAACACTATGGTGTGTTGTAAAGTGAATCAAATTTTATGTATTATTCCCATAGAAACTTTACAGTTTCTCGTAATGTATTTTTATCAAAGATAGCTAGTGTCTGACTATAAAACACATAGCTATTAAAGTGCAAAATTTCTTTGAAAAAAAAAAGCTGGATTTTAAAAGATGAAAACCAAAATGTTAAATTGTATCGTTTTCCACTTTGCTCTAACTTCATTCTTAATATATAAACATTATCTAATATTGAATGACATTCACACAAAAATATCACTTTCTACCATTCTTGTTATTCTAAGATTTAGCAACGTATCTGTCAATGATATTATATCAAGAATAACAGCATATTTTATCATAAAAAGTTCATATATTTCTGCTAGCATCCTGTAATTCATCACTTTTATAGATATTGTAAAATGCTCCAGTTCAGAAATATACACTTATTCATGTTTTATCAATTCATTCCGAATTTATTTTATCACAATGCATATTTTATTTTGGAAAAGTTTGAAAGTTGTATAGCAACATGGTCTGATATTTAATGTATGCATTTATGAACATGTAAATATCATGAGTAGTATGTATCAAAAGTTTAAAGCAGTTATTCTTAGCTGAATAATTTATAATATTCAAGGTACTTACTAATAATTGCTAGCAAAGTAAAATTCATAAACCATATCCTAAGATAAATGTAGAATTGGTAAAATAAAAAAAAAATCTAAAACTGAAAAAACTGAAAAACTTCCTAATTTGTAGTTAAATTGTGGTAGTGCATGCCTGCAATCCCAGCACTTTGGAGGCTGAGGGAGAAGGATCGCTGTGAGTTTGATGCCAGCATGGGCTACATAGTAAGTTCAAGACCAGCCTGAACTACTTAACAAGGCACTGTCTCAAAAAAATGAAAAAAATTAAAACTAAAGACAGAAAATTCTTTCTGGTTGTATGTATTTTAAGCCCTTAGAAAAATTAGGCTGAGACAGAGTGATTATTTGATTTTTTTAAGGCATAATTGTCCTGTATAATTGACAAGAAGTAATTGAAGATAATTTTTAACTCATAACGATTAAGTTGAATGTACTTTCTATTTGTATTCACTATAAATATGTATTGTTGTTTACATCTGCCTAATAGTGAAATTTTGTTATTGTTTTCACTTAGCCAATAGGAGAGGCTTTGAATTCAATCTATCATTCCAGCGAAGTTATGGAATTTATAAAATAGCACATGAAGATTACTATGACGATGATGAAAATTCTATATCCTATCACAACCTGATGAATTATGAGTGTGAAACTACAAAAGATTCTCAGAGAGACAAGTGTAATATCTTTAATGCCGTAAAAGTAGAAATCAGCACCACAGCCTCTCCGGACAGCTCCACACTAAAAGGTATTAACAAGTGCACAAATACTGATGTGACAGAGGCCAAACAAGATCCCGACAAAGAAAAGTGTACATTTTCAGACAAAACAGGAAGTACTACTAACTATGAAGAAACCGCCTTTTATGAAGGTCCAGAAAGAAGACTATCTCATGAAGACAGTCAGAAACCAGACCTTTCTGACTGGGAGTGGTGTAGGAGTAAATCAGAAAGAACCCCTCGTCAGGTACAGTAAAGGTTGTTTGTCTTGTGAAATCAGAAGTGAAACTAAATATGATAGACATAAAAAAGTTATCAGTTGATTCTTTCATTTAACTATGGCTAAAGTTAATTTCACTTTCTCGTTTAATTTTATTGCAAGATGACTCTTGAAAGGGTTTTTAATTTTTTAATTAATTTTTTATTTTTATTAAAAACATAGGCATTTTGGAATCAATAGTTAAATGAGCACTTTCAAAGGGGTAGGCATTTTGTTTTAACCTCAAGCAATATGCTTAAATCCAGACGAGACTCAGAACTTGTGCTTCTGAGTTAAATTTAACTTGTGCATTTTTTATTTGCTTCTCCTTCATCCCTGAAATCCTCAAGAGAAGTTTTCTTTGTTATTTAAAGGCAAGCATATACAAAACCAGAAGTGAGAAGGGCTGACCTTTCAGCTATAACTAGACGGCTTGCCTGTCTGTCTTGCTCGTATTTGTCTTTCCAGAAGCTAGCAAGGAAAAAAGTATTTCAAAATATATTTTGATGAGCCAAATGTCCCGTCTCCTTAAATATGAAAAAAAATGGTCTGCAACGTTTTATAAAACAGAAAATTTTCACATGAACTTTATTTCTTTCACTCCTAGATTCTAGCCTGCTGAAAATGATAAGGTGTCTTTTTCATTTTATTCAAGATAGAATGTGATATTGAGGTGATACTGCTCTTTCATGCAAACTTTGGTAATTAAAGTTGGTTTTGCTTTCTGCACTATTGATTTGCTAAAAAGGAGAGGATTGTTTTACATGATTTAGTGGAAATCTGAGTCTACTTGCACCTAGTCTCTGAAAAAAAATAATTACAGAAATATTCTGCTAGGAATAACGCATTCACTGATGAAAAATATGACTGCAGACCTGAGGCTAGGATCCTGTTTTCCCCAATGTGGAGAGGGCGCCGCACTGGGGTCTCAGAGGCACACAGGAGACAGCAGGATGGGGAGATACCCATGAGGCAGGGAGCCTCCCGACAGAGCCTGAAAGCAGGCTGCCCAGGGTGTGCTAGGTGGTCCAGAGTGGGGACAGACCGGTGTGGTTCTGGGGAACATTTCCACTGTTGTGAGCTTTGGGTTTTTGTACCACCAAGGCAGACACTGTCCCAGGTCTTGTGGCCCTTAGTAACGGTGTGGCCGGGTCACTGTGTATGGCCGGGCAGATGGGGAGGCAGAACTTGAGAAGTCTTGGGAAGGAAGAATGGCTACTGTGGAAATATTAAACCAGAGTGGTGTCATCTAGGAACCCTCTCAGTTGTTTCCTTTTGCTCATCCCACCTCTCCTCCTCTTCCTCGTCTTCCTTCTTCTCTTTTTAAAAATAGTTCTCCTCCATCCCCTGCTGCTTCCCACCAGTCACATTCCATCCATCATTCCAGGTACAACATAAACTCTGTTCTCCAAGTCCATGACATCAGACTCTTCAACGTTTTCAGCCCCACACCGTGTTCTCCCGAGATGTCCTCAGACCTGGGTAAAGGTGTGGATGCTGTCCTTCATAAAAGCACTCATGACTCCCCCATTTGTTCCTAGAACTGGTAAAAAGAAATAAAACCCCCTGATGAGCAGTTTCTCAGAGAAGAGTTGCCCCAGAGCACTAGAAGTCCCCACTTGTTAAAAAGAGGACAGGATGCTACTTCTTACCAAATGTTTGTATTGCCACTGTATTTCTCCAATACAAAGTGTTAATATGTAGAATCAGTATAGAAGTAATTACCAGTATGCCGTTTGGGAAAGCTTAACTTTGTATGTAAATTTTTTATAAAAGTATAATAAACTATATGTGTTCATATGATTAAAAGACTTTGCATTTATGGAAATAAAAAAAAAAGACTACAGATCACCAGTACAAATATGAGCAGGATAATTTGAGTTTTCCCTTTCTCACTGATTAAGTAAAACTAGTATTATCATTCTAATAGCATTTTTTAAGACTTAAGTAAAGTAGTAAATAAATACATAGAACATTATTAGAAAAGATGATTTGGCATCTTGTTTGGCAATTAGGAATCCCAGAAGAAAAAAGTTTCTAAATATTTGCTATGAGTTAAATAATACAATGAAAAGTGGAGGTCAACATATACAATGTTCCAAAGTTTTAAAATAACGTTTTCCCAGCAAAGGGGGAATTTTTGTATTTCCATTATCAGTTTGTTCCTACATAATCTAAATCTTCTCATTTTCTTGCGCTTAAAAATGAAATAATACTCATGGTGAAACACTTTTGTGTGCACGTGTATATATTCATGTATGCCATTAATTTACAGCTACCCTGGGTATTATAATCCCTTGTATCATCCTCGTGGCGACTCCACAGTAAGGTTATAGCAGTCTTGCCAGTATTTATATATATATGTGTGTGTGTGTATATATATATATATATATGTGTGTGTGTGTGTGTGTGTGTATATATATATATATATACACACACACACACACACACACACACACACATATATATATAATGTATTTCTTAGTTTTGCTAACTTCTGAAGAGGTAAAGGAGCTGGAACTGGCTTTACAGCAATGTTCTGTTTCAATGTTGTGGGTGAGGACCTATTTTTTTTTAGCAGTCTCTTAACCTGGTCTGACTGGGCAGATGTAGGGCTCAGTAGGATTCAGGGCCTGACCCTTTCTTTTGGGAAGGGGTGGGAGTGAATGTGTTGGAGATGGGAGGGAAGCAAGAGACGAAAACAGGAGCATGAGTGCGTGTGCCTGTGTTAGAAATTCACTGTCACGTCTACCTGTGTCCCGCAAGAGACAGGTGTTCTATATATTTTTCTCCTGACTGCAATATAGATGTATTTTTCCCTGCTTTGTGGTTTCTAAACTTACACTAAAACTATTCACCAAACGATCTTGTTCAGATGGCTCAGGATTGTATTTATTTTGCTTATTCTTTGCCCTTTGGTTTTATAGTATTTCAATAATTCTGTAACCAGAATAGTGTTGGATCTATCATATAGAGCTGTATGTATGAAAAATTTTGATTCGTTTTTAAGAGATGTATCCTGCTTATAAAGGCACAGTAAAGATGCATCTTATAGACATAGGCAATAAAGCCAACAATAAACCATATTTAATATAAACCATTTTAAAAACCCAGGTCTTAACTCTTACATGTTTTTAAGCAACAGATATTACATGGGAGTAAATGGTGACATGCCTTTCTTCTTAGTGGCTTCTTTGCTCTGAAAACATGTAGGGATACATTAGACTTTAGTAAGTATTGCACATAATCAATGAAAACTCCACCTACTTATTTTCTATGGTTATATTTTCACTTAGGCTTAGTTCATCAGTTAATATATGTAATGATATTACATTAATTAACACAGTATGTGTTAATTAAAATTCTGGAAAACAGATTTGATTTTAAATATATTTCATGATATTATTTTTTAAATGGACTTTTCTTAATTTTTATGTTAACCTCTATATTAGTAAATAAATTTTCAGTATCTCTTCTGGTAGGAGTAAGAATTTCAGATCAGGGATATGTGTAAAAATAATGGTAATAAAATAGCTTTGGTAGATTTAAATATGTTTGTCTTGGTTACTTTTCTCTAGTTGAGACAAAACATCCAACACCCAAAATTAAGGAAGGAAAGGTTTATTTAGCTCACAGTTTATGGAGGTTACAGTCCATAATCAGCTGGACCCAAGGCAGGGTGGCATGTCACAGGGGCAACACTTCAAGGCAGCAGAAGACAGCAAAAGCAATAAGGTCAAAAAAAAGGGGATTGGACAGCAAGCCTCTTCTTCTCCTTTATATTGTAAGCAGGCCACCACTGCCTAGGGTGGCTGTAGCACTCACACCATCTCCCTGCCATCCTCTTGCACAGGATGAGGATATTTACAAAGTAAGGATCCTGGCTCCCTGTTGACACAATTTATCAACCATTACAATGTTCCAATAAAATTTATGAGTTGAGGGTGTTTGTAAGACTAAAATTCAGTGTTAAACCTAAACACAAAATTGTTTCTTTCTGACCCTGTAGAAGATATAACTCTAAGCAGTTGAAATATGTAAAAGGAGCAGTAAGAAATTCTCAGGGTCTTCAATTAAAAAGCTTTCCATGTGACAGTAATGGTATGACTTTGTTTCTGAAATGAAATGATGGTTTTCTAGAACCTAAATTGTGTCATGTATGAATAAAGAAAAATCAAATTTGTCACATAATTTAATGCCTTGAGTGTCATCACTCTGGTTTTTTTTTTTTTTCTATTTTAATGCTTAGCTCATAAAATTACTCAGGGATGCCATTTTCTTTTTTAATACCTGTCTTAGAGTTCTGTAAACCCCCTTGTTTATTATTATAGATCTGAAGCAAAGGTATATTGTAGCTATGCCACTCAAAGCCATTTGTAATCTTATCGGAAATGAGAAAGGTCTTCCATTATGCCAGTGGAATATAAAAAGAAGGTTTTAAAAGTAATCCTTTTTAAAGAGACATAAACCAGGAGAACTAATGTGTTTGAATTTGCCATACAACCACTTAAGAGACAAACATGGCCAATATGAACAAAGTTTAAAATCACCTGAAAATCAAGGAAATTTTTACCTTTAAGAAAATTTTTTAAAAATAGTTAAATATATTTTTAAATCCTTATTCTAAGGGAAATTTTATATTTGTTTGAAGGAAAATGTTTTTTAAAGCAATTTAAAAGTTTTGCAAAGCAAAATTATATTTTGTCACTTTCTAATAGAGTTCAGTGCTAACTCTGGTTTCTATAATCTTTTAAAAGTATTATTATTCATTTTATTTATTATTCATATTCCTTTTCACTTTTGAAAATACATCTTTAAAAAATAAATCAGGCACAAGATGGTAGTGTTTCCTATTGACATAGGGGAAAGAAACTCTTAACCTGCTAGATGTCTTGGATGAGTTCGTGTGAATGTAGAAATCTGTTGCTCATGCTCAGAACAAGTGTTCTTGTTCCTCGCACATAGGTTCTGCCAACCTTATGCAACAT